ATATGCAATTTGTCATCAATCCATTAAACCATGCAGAGCCAATTGTGTCGTCCTTGAAACTTTGGGTTATTTTTAACACTTCCACCTCTATATATCTCTCTCACACACACATACACAGTGTGGTGGCCTTGGGCTGCTTGTCTCCAGCTTCAGCCACGTGAGCTATCCAAGCACCCAGTCACACTGTCACATTCAATCTGCTTGGAGCTCATGGCAGAATCAGGGATGAACCATGTCTTCAGAGGCTGTAGATCACATTACTAGCTAATGAGGAACAATCACAAGCTGTTATTTAGTTTAGTTTGGATGCATGTTGCTGTCTTTTTGTATCTCTGCTCTTGCATTTTGCCTGAGTTGCTTTCTTTAAGGAATATAAAAGACTCTAAAGGAAACCTCTGAAGTGGACTTGTAGGACCACATTCAGGTCAGTGTCTCACCTATGGGAGTGTAAGATAAACAGTTTAATTTAAGCAAATGCAACTAGTCATATGCATAGGAAACCCCAACGGGATAAACATCCAAAGCTGTTCCCAGAACATCTGTGCCTAATTTCTTTCTTGAGCTGACTTTCAGTTTTTAAATGACATTATGTCAGACACAGGGTCATTCATCAGAGATGTTGTCAGTTCAAGGGTTGCATATTTACAGAGTATATGTCTATGTGTGTGTGTTTGTGGTATAAATTGAGCCATATGCAGTGTAAGATAGTTTGAGATCTGTGCATGTATAATTCAGTTTGTCACGGCCATTTCAAAGAGGAGAGGAGAAAATCAGAGCCATAAAGGACTGTGGGAGTTGACAAATGTGAATCCATTTTCACAGCTGAGTTGATATGCTGCAGATACAGTATATATAGTAAGCAAACTGTATTTTCATCTGCCACACAGTGCAAGTAATGACATGTTCAGACACTGAAAACACAGACAGACTACAGCACTGATGCTGTCGCAGCATAACAGGGGCCTGATGCTATGAAGGTAGAATAAACTCAAACCTTTCAAATACAGTATAAAGTATATCTGAAAACCAGGCACACAAATCCTATCAAGCTGCTGCTTTGGATGTAAAATTGGACCACCAGTCACCTACATTACTTGCAAATGGCAGACAGATTATAGGTGGAAATTGGATTCTGTCAGTATTGATGGGATTTGGTAGTCCCTCCGGGAAAATGAGCCAATGTGCTTCTGACAAATCTACTGCCATCATACCATTCTGGACCATCTGCCCCCCAGACTTTGCTGTAGCGCTGTTTGTACTTAATCTGCCCTACCTACTGTCTCCTACTGTTTGTAAGCTTATGGTTCATGTTAGGATAAGTCAGTGTAATATCCCCTAAAGTTATCTAAACATGTGTATGTGTTTGGAAACAAAGGAAATGAGTAAATGCTTAGAACAGCTTCACTGAGAGCCTCCAGCACATGGTAGCCGGTGCTCATGACATTAATGCAGTCCTGGTTACTTGCTTGCAGTCAGAGCTAGAGCATTGAACCCTAAAGAAGCTGTCTCTCACCACCTTCCCTCTCTCTGTATCTCTGTATCGCTGCCTCGCCCTGCCATGTAATCTGCCTCTCCTATCTCTGTGTCTACTACTCCCCTGCTCTGGAAAAGACGAGAGAGAAGGGCAAAGCTGAAAGGGTAGGGTAAAGTCATCAGTTAACATCCCGTCTTTGTTCTGACTGAGAGCTGCATCCTGTCGGGTGTGCTGGTATTTCTGTGGGAGGGATTTGTAGCACTCCATTTATTATTGCAGCATAAAGTTGTGTTGCAAACCAGTGAAACTGAGTGAAGCCGACAAATACCTAGAGATAGTGAGTTATTAATGTCCCCCTATTTAGCATTCGTAAGCAGCATTTAAACATTTACAGTTATGATATAGTAGTAAGATTCAGTGTAAGGACAGCATTTGTCAACAATTATAACTTCTCATAAAAAGACAAATTTTATATTATTAGAAATGTAGAATCCATTATGTTTATACACCAGCCTCCAATTAATTATGTCAAACACAGCCTCTAATTAATTAATTGATCTGTTATTTAATCTCTTTAATCGGATCATAATTCCCCTGTGTAACAAGTTTTCATATGAAAACTAATTTTGTGAATAAATGTTGTAAATTTATTTATTTATTTAATGGTGCTATAGTTTTGTTTTCTCCTGTGTGAATTTTGATTAAACCTCTCCTTATGTGTGGTGGCAGCACTGTGCTGGAGTGGGTCTTCTAGGCTTTGTTGTGTGGTTATGGATTAGTCAGCCCTAGGCTTGTTGTTACAGTGTTTGGAGGGGATATGTGCTCCTCCTCTCACCACATGCTGCTTCTGGAAACATTAGTGGCATATGTGGGACCCTCTGTTGGTGTAATACAGAGCATCGCTCAAACATGTTCATCTGAAGAGACAAGCTTTGAAGTAGATAGCATTCATTAGTGAGTATGACAGATATTTTAGTGCACTTTCTGTTCTCTTTTGGTCTCACCCCCTTGATGCTATCAGGATTTGTGAGATCACACCTCTTTCATCATTTTCTGGTACTCTTTTCCTCTCCCACCTGCTCCAGAACTCTGTTAGCCTCTTCTCTCTTCTCCTGAGCCTCAGTATAACATTCATGACAGTGCTGAATGGAGCCAAACGTGTACAGGAGGGACCTGGAAGGACTGGTAAAGGTTTGCATTACCTTGTAAATGATAAATTGTTAATAAACATTTGTTGTAAATGCATCTTGAAGGAGAAAGAATAGTAAAGTGTATTGACTCACAGAAGCACAGTTGGTAGAAATCCATTCTTGTTCCAAAGTGAAAAGTTTTATCCTTAATGCTGTGAAAGCAATCAACCATCAGTTGGTTTGATTTATTTATGGATTCACCAAAACTCACAGACACAATCCAAGGGATAAAATGATGAGATAACACTCAACATGGTCCCAAACTATATCGATTTTAAGGGGTGACTTGCAGTGATAAAGCTACAGAATTATCACCCAAATCTACAGCTCCCTTTGGCTTTATGGAGCTTTGTAGTGACTTTCATCTAAATGTTTAGTTGTAAAGCCCACAACCTTACAGTTCTTGCTTCCTCTCCTTGCTCTCACAGTGTTGGTTTCAGCTGCAGGGTGTAGAAAATCCCACTGTACACTATCTGCTTAGCACCAAACACAATTAGTAACTAGCTGGTGAAAATAGTGGAACATAAAACGGCCATGGAGCTAGATATTATCCTCAGGGGCTGGTAGAGACCAGAAACAGAGAAAAAAGAGTGGCCCTTCCTTCACCAAGGGACCAGAAGCACAACTTTAAATCATTATGTTGCTCTGTAACTGCTGGTGTTGTAATAATAAGACAAATGTATACAACAATATTGTGTTCATGACGCGTTTCCATTGCCCCCAAGTGTCTAAAAAATAAAGACAGACATAAAGCATGGAGCATAAACCTGAACTGTAATTTTTTAAAACCAAAACTACATCAGTGCAAAGTAAACCAAAGGTTACTGTTTGCTTTTACTAGCAGCTGTTATGGAGTTTAAACAGTGTTTGGGTTGTAGGTCACAAACAGTCTGATATTCAAGATACATTTGGTGTCCAAGCCAAGGATATACAGCAGGAGCCTTCTCTCCCTTCTTCAAGACTCACTGTACGAGTCTCCCCTCAGCATTTTTCTGCAGTTGAGCAAAAATATTGTCTGTCAAACACCTTGCATTGTTAAACTAACCAGAAAATGCTAGTGATCACATACTTGGATTTTCTTTAGCCAGATTTTCAGTTGTAACTTAAATTGTACAAAGGTGGGACATTCTACTGGTTGGTTTGTAACGTGCTCCAGGTGTTTGTATGGAAAACGCTGAACAGCCAAAGTCTATGAATCTGTGTTATATAACACAATCACCTCTTGAGGATGCTCTTGTCTGCCTTGTATTTTCCGAGTACAATGACACTGATTCTTTCAAAGGTGACGGTGCAAGGTTGTGAACAATATGTGTCTGTAACAGTTGGAGCCACGGGGAAGGTAGTAGAGGAGTCTAGGGGCTGCTATTCAGGAGTGTGTGTGTGCTTTAATGTGTGGGCAGCTTGTGTGTCCATATGAAAACAGAATATTGTTTTCACTTTTTGTTGTAAGGCTGTGAATAAGCCTGGAAAAAAATGCAAAGAAGGTTAATAACATGTTTTAAGGGTGATCAAATAAAAGCAGCTGTTCAAGGAGGAAACATTCAAGCAAGTGTTTTGTGGATAAAAGTGTTGGGAGTAGGTTTTATTATTAATGTGCAATGCAGTCTGGCTAATTGTACAGTCAGCTTTTTTTTCTGGGTTTTCTGCTGTTCTGCTGCAGCATTACCTCAGATGAGAACCTCCTCTAAGCTGAAGATGAGAGAGCTTTTCCCCACTGGGGCAAAAACTGAGAATGAGGAGTGGTTTAGTTAAAAACCAAAGAGAAAGAAAAGGTTGAATGAGTGTGCACCATCTCTTGTTTTTCCTCAGCATCAGCAAAAAATTAAAAACAAAAAAGATCCACACTGATTATCCCTACTTAAAATCCAAATGGCAGAATACATGAAGTTGTGCAACAAACAAACTATGTGAACTGCAAGGAAATTCTGGGCTGATTCTACAAATCTTTCATATGACCACAACAGTTACTATACTCTAAATCTCTTGCTGCTCTTGTGTCTGGCCATGTAGTTGTTTACTGCTGGTTTTACTGCTCATCCACAGGCACTCATTGTGTCTAGACACTGATTGCCTGCCTAAGGGAGGAAATGAAAATCAATATGGCAAATGCAATAGAAACACATTTGGATCTTCCAAGAGCTGAATATTAAGATAAAGAGTTTTATGGTACATGCATTCTTCTTTATCTCTCATTTCCCCACAAAACATCATTATCTCTGACATCATTTATTACTTTGCACTCCCCCCACACACTTACTTTTGTTCTGTTTAAACCTTTTGTTCTTCCGTCCTCTCCTTATTCTGCTATTTATTTCTCTTTTGCCTAATCTTCCTAGGTGTGTGTCTGGTGTTGGGTTGCATGATCTATCCCAATGGCTGGGACAGCGACGAGGTCCGTCGGATGTGCGGAGAGCAGACAGGCAAATACAGTCTGGGGGCGTGCTCGGTGCGCTGGGCCTACATCTTGGCTATTATGGGCATTCTGGATGCCCTCATCCTCTCCTTCCTGGCCTTTGTCCTGGGGAATCGGCAGGATGGACTCATGACAGAAGAGCTGCTGGCGGAAAGCAAGGGTGAGAATGACTCATATAATGTGATTTAATGCGATGGTTTATTGATCTCCTTTGGGGAAATTCCCTTTTCACTTGTGCACTGCCCTGGATGTCAAAGGCAGCTTCAGAACAGCACTCTGTTAGGATTTAATGTCTTAGTTAAGAAAACTTGCTCCATGCCAGAATGACTTTCTGTTGCTTCTTTACGCATTAGGCAACTTTTCTTAAAAAAAAAAATCTATATTTTGACAGCAATCCCTAACATTTCCACCTCTAGTAAAGTGTGTTAAATTGTGCTATGTTCTTTTAAATCTCAGTCACTGACTGACTTTTTCCCCCCGCTGGGTGGTAGAAGGCGAAATGCTCCAGAAGTGTATTCGTGGTGCAGTTTGTTCTATAGTGGGCTGGAAAAAACACTTAAAGTAAATGAGAATACATTAAAGTGTGCTTTGAGAATAGACTGAAAATAGAAAGCGCATAGTCATCAAGGTAGCAATAAACATATACTAGTCTGACAAACATTGTGTGAACTGAATTAATAAAAGGATAACATTAACTGCACTTACTAATGGGTCTAATGGGCTTTTGATGCATCTTCAGTGAAAGCAAAACAAAACTTATGAAGCTCCACATGCACAGTTTGAACATAATCAAGGGAACTACATAAGCCTTCTTTTAAATAGCAACAAAAAAGCATAAATGATTTACATTGTGAACTTATTTTTACATTCAATAACCATTCCTTTTTGTCCAATGACATACCTAAAGTAAAATACTTCTTGTTTTGCATCCCTTTTAATGCACACAGGCACAGATGTTACAAAATTAGCATGTGTGATTTACACAGATAGGGTCGCTTTCATCTGTCAGGCCTCACTATGCTATCATGGAGCTGCCATAAGGGAAGTGGTGATTTAGCAGGGTCTGGAATGGCGTCCATGCTATTTCTGGTTATCTCATCTCAAACCCCAGTGACCTTCAAGCAATAAATATGAGATAAAGCGACAAGATGAAAGATCCTTACACAATGTCATAGAAGAGATAACTTGAATGGGATTATCAGTAGATTTGCCAGTCAATAAATAGCTTCACTGTGCAAGCCAGTGATGTACTGAGCCTTAGTCTAGGACTCTGGAGAATTCGTCATTTATGAATAATTCATTATAGCTCAATAGCCCGTTACCAATTAGCTCATCCCTGGTGCCATCTACTGGTATTTGTGTGCAATAGGGCCAGTTATTGTGAAGGAAGCACGTACAGTATGTGGCAATGTGTGAACATGGGAGGCTAATAATAGCACAAACTTGAAAACCTTATTGATGCACTATTACATTTTTCTCTGTGATTCTTTTTTTCCAGAGGGAGGCAATGCCTAGTCAAATCTATAGGTAAGTGAAGACAACATATATTGATCAGTATATGATAAAGAGCTGTATCTTATTACATGAGCTGCCATGCAAAATGTGATTTTTATTTAATATCTGACAGCTTTGAAATGTCATCTGCATCCCCAGGAACAATACATTCAGTGTAATTAAAAAAATCAGAACATAATGTTATATATGGCATTATGAGATTAATATTAATGATGCATTACTGTGTAAGCAGAATTTCACTGTTATAGCTGATTGAATTCATTCCAGTGGGTTTAAACCTAGTCTGGCATCCTCCAGGAGACATTTGAGATAATAGGGCACAAAAGAAGGAAAAAAAAACTTCTGCCACAAAATCTTTATTTTTTGCCTTTTCCATAATCTTTGCTTCTTTGTGATATACTGAATATAAAAAAAACTGAAACTACTTGAAAGGATCAGAGGAAAAATCTCTCTTTGGGAGAAATGTTAATAAGTCATAGATCTGAGGGAGCCCCAGCTTAATAATTCTTTTTGTAAGAGAAATAAGCCACAGGGGTTGGGAGCAACTGATTTAATCTTAGATGACGTATTGTATTTTATGAACTTTTTTTGTATAAAATTTTAATGCCATCAAATATGTATTGAAGTAAAAAGTAGCATAAAATTAAAATACTTGAGTCGAGTGCTTTCCACCTTTGCCTCCAGTTTATACAGTCTCTTTTTCTTTCTTTCTCTCGGGTTCCTGAATTTCCATGTGTCTGTTTTCATAAAGTACCAGTCCCTCAATATCAGCTTAAAGGAGGGAGGCGGTCCAGGTCTGTGGAGTAGAGGATTACTATTGAACCAGCCTGCTTGCCTGCCAAAAACCCAGTGTAACCTAACCTTGAAGTTCATCCATCCTGCTTGCAGTCCCTACATCATCTGCACTTAGATGGAGCCCATTGCACTTTTATCTCAGTGTGTCTACAGAGCTAACCGTTGCACAGCATTGCATAGACCATGGCAGGGGCAGAGACTGTTATTCTGTTGAGAAATATATGAGCTACCCACTACCTACCTGGAAGCATAGGGCTGACATTGTACACCTGCAGTACAAGCACAGACACAAACACACATACATCATTGCCGCCTCACTTGTATACACAAACACAGCTCTGTATACAACACACAGTACATTCAAACAATACATTAACAAACTGTAATTACAAGTATTAAACTATGTTAACACTTATCTGTGCGTCACCTTCAGAATGTGTGTCATGTTTTATTTATGAAAAGAAGAAAGTGCTCATTTTCAGATACTGTTGGGTTACTGTAATTCGACTGTGTTTCTGCATACTATGTAAGGTTTACAGTGGAATGACGCCACTTTGTTCCTTCTCATGTACTAGGAAAAGATAATTAAGGCTGTTTTATAAGAATATTATCACTCAAAAGAAAAATAAGACTTGTATTACAAAATATGTACAGTGAATATTAAAGATGGTCTAGGAATTTTAACTAAATCCATTCAATGCCCCACTAGCTAACTTTGCACAGTGCTTCAGTTTGAGAAGATATAAAATATTTTGTAATCTGTGGCATCTACACTGTGATGGGGGCTGTTAGGACCGCAGCAGAGGTCATAGCTGCTGTGTGAGTGTGCTTCTGTACGTGTGACTGTAGGGAGATCAGTGCGTGTATTTGGCTGAGAGCATGCACATATGCGAGTGTCAGTGCGAATGCGTTGTGTTCAGTTTGATGATTTAGTGAACCAGTTCGCCAGCCCCCCCACACACAACTGCCTTGTTGTGTAGCTACATCTATCTGTCTCTGTCTTTGTCCCCAACTCTCTTTTTCTCTCTCTGACTCAATTTCTTTTGTTGGGACATACAGGGTAACATAATGGAGTTGGAGTATTATGTAAAGTGAATGGTGTGCCTGAGTCAGTGATAATGGAATAGCAAGGCCTGTCCCAGCCTCACCTGTGCATATCTTCCTGTAAATACATTCATATGCTATAGATTTCAAACAATTAGCAAGTATGGACAAGAAGGTTAACTTACATCAATTAAAGAGATTCCTTCATGAATGTTAACATTTAATAAAGGTTTTCACTGTAAAACATTGCTGTGTTTTTAATTGAACTGACACAAGCTACATGCATTTTTAAAAGGGTTAAGCATGTGTGCAGCATTTGACAGTTATGATTTTAGTCTACTCACTTCCGTTTAAGTTGTCTTATGACAGAAAAATAATACCTTTGGTCACAGTTGGTCAGAATCCAAATAGTCCGTTTGACATAATTATGGGTTTGCAGTCAGCCGACTTATTCTACAGATTTTAGGGGCTATAATCTAGTTTACAGTCTGGTATAAACTTGGATTAGTTAAAGGCTTATTCAACAGACCAAAGGTGTTTTTTCTGCACCTGTCAGACAAGTAGTAGACCATGCAGTGCTTTCAAAACAAGTACAATTATTTTAAAATCAGTATGGAAACTGACAGGCAACCAGTGTAAGGATTTTAAAACAGTTAATGTGTTGTCTCCTTCTGGGCCTGGTCACAACTCAGGCAGCAGAGTTTATGGGTAGATCATAAACAGAGAACCATCACTATAGTTCAGTCTGCTGGATATAAAAAAATCCAGTCTGTCTGTGTTATTTAGAGGAAGAAATTGCAATAAAAAGCTGATTTGGTGGCAAATCCCAGATGACACCTATTTCTGGCCTGCAGGTTCGGAGCCCCCCCAACACCACCGGCAGCAATTTCATAAAATGTGCCTTTAAGACTTAAACCACTGGAAGGGAAGCGGGATTCAAACATGTAGCTCCGCCTCTGTTATTCGACATAGCGGAAACAGAGACTAAACATAAGATAAAACAAAATGGGTGCGTCGTTGGAAATTCCATCGAGGTGTCTTATATGCAGCGAGCTGACCCGAGACATCGTTACTCTGAAGTGCAACCACCGCTTCTGTCAACAATGTATCGGAGACTTGTGGAGCATTACCCCGGAAGGGCCGTACAAGTGTCCGAAGTGGCAGTGTAATGCTGTGTACCAGTCGCTGCCCTTTGACAGAGGCCTGATACGGCCGCCCACTCCTATCCGACGGCCTCCACCTAGCAGCCCTGCAGGTCGAGTAAAAGCTAAGTTACCACTTGGCATGAAACCAGACGGTCACTGAGCTAATGCTAACACTAGCTAACGTAGCACGCATCGTTACTCTCCACATTAAGATAGCTAGAATTACTTGGTTAATGCTAAATGTTGGATTGTGTGTGTGTGTGTGTGTGTGTGTGTGTGTGTATGTATGTATGTGTTTTACAAGGGAAGGTACCATGTAATGTGCTAGCTAATGTTGTGCTACAGCCACGTTATTTGTTAGTTAGCTTAATTATGGCATCATAATAAACCGAACTTCTTGGTGTAAATAACGTAACAGCTCCATCTACTTCCTTTAGATTTTCCACAAGGTGGAGGAAGTACTCCGATTTTTTTTTTTAAATCTGCGTAACGTTCCCTAGCAGTATATTTATGCAAAAAGAATAAGCTCAGTGGGTCATGAGCAGAGGAACACTATAACTTCATTATATCTTTCTCAGGTGTGGTGAATGGTTGGGCAGGTTATTCGTTGTTTCTGTCATTTTCAGTAGAATTTGCAAATATTTGTGTAACCAAGATAAAACAAAACAACAAAAAGTTGAATAAGGACAAAATTAGTTCATTGAAATGTACTTTTAAGTATCAAAGGTACTGGATCTGCCTATGTCAGTGCCTATGACTGTCACAAGCTATTATTATTATACTACTATTATTAGTACTGATACATAATTATATATGAGCAAACTGAAACGTCTGTATTCTAAATCTGCAGCTTTAAGTAGTACTGGGCTTTAAAGTATTATCTTAAATGTATTAAGTAAGTATATCTTAAATGTAGAGGAGTAGGGGTATCAAGTGGCATAAAAATCATTTTCTCAAGTAAAATACAAGTACCTCAAATATTTATTTAAGTACATTACTTGAGTAAATGTGTGCCAAATTACCCCTAATGGGAACAGCCAAGAGTAGAGTAGTAGAGACTTGAGTTAAATGTGTGCAGTTCTTTTCCACTGCTAGTTTTTATGCAGCAGGACATGAAATTGTATCTTATACAAATAGTGAGGGTAATGGGCTAACTCATTTATGTTCGTATGTGCTCATGTAGGTTTCCTGCACAAATTTGGTACAGATTTGTGATTTATTAGAGTTTTCACATTTCCACATTATGTGAGTTGTACTTAATTGCTTCTGATTGATGCATTAGGAATATTTTAAATCATAATCGCACAATGTACAATTGATTGCTACAGGAATGAGTCATTTAAAGTAAATATAATTGATGGACGATGCCACCGCTGATGAGCCGCCATCGTGATTTTAAAGCCATAACATGCCCAAACCATATTAAATGTAGTGTCAAATGTCATCATTGAAATTCAGTGTTTTCAGTTGCAGTTAAATTCATTCGGTCATGGCTGGCTGCCAACTCAGTGACAACGTTTATAAAGTGAAAGTACTAGGCAACATAACGCTTAGAAGTGTAAGCAAGCTTGATAGTTACTGGTTACGTAGCACTGGGATGTCCCCATTGTGGGATCAATAAAGTCTTGCCATACCTTAACTTGCTTCAAGTAGAATTGTTCAGTGGGCATATGAGATGAATGTTATTGGGTTGGGCAGAAGGCAGGGTGCAAGTGTTTTTGTGAAGTACTGCTGTGAAAGTGCCTAGGCAACATTTTGTCTGACTAGTTTTGCTTTGCTTGTATTCTGTTTTTAAAGGCCCATCCGATAACAGTGAAGAAAACCCACTACTGAGGAGGCCCTCGCTTTCCGGCCACCTCTTGGGGAAAAGAAAGTCAAGCACACCTGTACCAGAGCAACCTGACGCAAAGCGATCACCTGTGGGATCTCCCCATGTGTGGTTCAGCGACACTTCCACTCCCAGCACTTCCTCCTCAGATAAACCTGGGCCGTCAACTGGTGTGGAGACATCCAAGAAAGCAGTGGACCCGAAACCTACACAGTCTAAGGGTTTTGATAAGACACCCCCCAGTGACAACTCTGACAGCAAGGCAGTGGCTGCAGGTGATGTGCCACAAAACATCTCAGACCAGCAGAACCAACATAAATCAGGAGGGGTCATATCAGTGGACGACTCTGACAGCTCCAGTGAGGTAGATATATGTGATTCACCTCCTTTGGCAACCCCCAAGAAAGATGCACAAGTGACAGGAATTTATGCATCGCCAAAGAAACCTTCCTCACCTGCCAACTCTGATTCTTTTCCTGGAGTCTCAAATGCAGGGAAAAATCCATCTTCTGTACAAGACATCAACAAGCCACCTCTGATGTTCACCAAATACCCTGCTGCAGCTTCAGGATCCCCAACTAATGTTGGCATGTTTTCCAGGCAAGACAACAAAAATACCCGCCCTCTACCCTGCCATTATTGTCCTAAAACTCAATATCAGCCTGCTGTGAAAACCTGTCTGGTGTGTGGAGCTTCCATGTGTGCAGAGCACCTGCGTCCCCACCTGGATGCCCCTGTGTTTCAGAATCATACACTGGTTCCCCCTATGGAGGACATTTCTCTCTGGAGGTGCCAGGAGCACCAGGAGATAAACCGAATCTACTGTCGGCAGTGTGGAGTGTGTGTGTGTACAGTGTGCACCGTCATAGGCTCTCACCGTGACCATGTCTGCATCAGCATCAGGGAGGCAGAGAGCGAGCTCAGAGTAAGTGATGAATTATTGAACCATATATAATGTGCACACACAGAATAATTGTAGTTAAGGTTGAGATGCATGTATAGTAAGTCTCACCATAGTAATATTTGTATTTTCTGTACACATTTTTCCAAAGGGGAACCTGAGAGAGAAGATCAAACAGCTGCAGGATGCAGAACAGCAAGTACAGAACAGAATGACTGAACTCACACAGAAGAAAGAAACATTCAGCGTAAGAGTTCTAATTTATACTTATTTGTTGCTTAGCATGACATGAAAAGATTTATTTTTGCCTTGACTAACTGTGATAAGTGGAGATATGTGGGATATGTGGAGACTCATCTGCACATTTTGCAGTAAATTACACTAAACATCATGGAATTGTAACACTGTATTGAAATTTCAGTTTGTTTTAAAACCGGTATAATCAGCTACGAAGGTTGCCAAAATTCACCAGTCATGTGTATCACTCACAGTTTTCAGCTTAAACTAAGATTTTCTATTTTGTTTTCAGTTGCATAGGAAACCAATAACTACACTGCAATAACAAAAGGCTCTTAGGAATCAAAACTATCATACTACATGACATTGATTTACAGCGTGTCTGTCCAGGTGATTTTAAGTGAGGCACGTGAAGGTGTGCAGCAGCAGTACGGCGCCATCAGAGAGGCCTTAGAGCTGGAGGAGCAATCAGCTCTTCGATGTGTGACAAAGGAGGAGAGCAAGGTTCTGGGAGGACTAGAGGAGAAACTCAGCCACCTCCAGAGCTCCATGCAATCCATCCAGCAAGGCCTCCAGACCCTGGAGGGTCTGGCTGATGCCAAGGCAGAAAAACGCATTCAGGACCAGGCCTTCATTACGGTAAGGTGGATGTTAGGAGAGTAACCCGTTTGTTGGTTGGTAAAATATATAATTTACTGTTGTACTGAAAACGTCCTTCTCTCCTTTCTCACATGATAGGAATACAACAAGATAGCTGAACTGTAAGTGATGTTCCTTGAACATGCCAGTAACTAAATATGCCACCAAGAATGCATAGCGTCAGTAGACAGCCTGTATAAAAATCTCATGGAAAATAGGGTAGCAGTGTGCCTTTCCAGGATCACTGCCATGAGTGCAAACAAAATTACATTCAGTTTCATATTGGGCTATAGGAACAAAATGGCTGCTGAATTCACATACAGTTGCTGTGTAATGTGTGGATTTTTGTTTCACAGAAGCTTTATCCAGTTTACTAAAATAATAATGGTAACTTCTTATTAACTGCTAAATGTCTGAGTGTGCATGTTTCCACTTTAGTGTATTCAGTTATTTTTAAATTATTGTTTTTGTTTCTGTTTGTTTCCTGACCTTTAAAGGGTCTTCAAGGAATAAAGAGGTCTTAAGTCTGTGTGCTGTCTGAATTCTTTTCCCAGATCTAGTAACGTGGGGAACTGCATGGAACAGTTGGAGCCTCTAGAGGAAGTGGATCAGGCCCGGCTCAAATGTCTGCAAAGGTGGACTGAGAAACGGCTCAACGCAGTCGTCATCACTGTGCCTGGTGAAGATAGAGACCTCTACAGACTGCTCTGTGAGAGATGTTGTATTAATACCAGCATCTGTTTACTTTTCACTTAATGATGGCTCACAGCTAAATAACTAAATGCATCCTATACAGCAAAGGTGACATTCAGATTGTCTTACTCTTCTGATCAAACGTTTAAAATTTATTTTCTCGTGTGCAGACGGCACCGTCCCCTTCTTGGATGCAGATACAGCTCATCCCAAGCTGCAGCTGTCTGATAACAACAGGAGGGTGACGTACAGTGAGGCCCAGCAAGTCTACACAGAGCACGCGGCTCGCTTCAGCTCCTTCCCACAGGTCTTGGCCTCCTGTGCCTTGGAGGGGGGGCGCTGGTACTGGGAGGTGAATGTGTCCATGGATGACGGCCGTTGGAAGGTGGGGCTGAGTGAGGGTCAGATAGAGAGGAAGGGTCAGAAAGACAACTCCCGTCTGGGTTTCAACAGTTACTCCTGGTGTCTGGCCTGTGATCGAAGGAAGGTCGAAGCTCTGCATAACAAAGCGTCTGTTCCTGTGAATGCAGACGGGCTGAAGAGGGTCGGAATATTCCTCGACTATGATGAGGGTATTGTGTCCTTCTTTAATGTGACACCAGGGGGCAGGCTAGCTTTAATGCAGTCTTACAAGCATAGGTTTACTGAGCCTCTTTACCCTGCCTTGTCTGTGTCTAAAACACACATGGCCATCTGTGATCTGTTCCAGTCATAACCGTACAATACTGGCATGTCACTTCTTCTGAAAATGTAAATAAAGAAAAGCACAGTGCCTTTTATATATGAAAATTATTTCTTATCTTAAAAATGTCATTTTGAATCAGTCTTGGGGAAGGTAGTTCCTCTATGTATTACATAAAATGCTGTTCGTATGCAAAAAGTCTTAATGTGATTTTATACCACCTGATAGTACTGGAATTATGTCATGCTAGCATATTTTTGATGCCATAAATTTCTTTTTTAACAACACGTGAGCAAGTTTACACATGGTAGTCCAGTTAGCACTGCTGATCAATACAACATTGATTTGGATGATATTTGAAATTATGTTCAAAATATCCTTAAAGTCTTGTCTTTGACCTCTTTTTGATTCTGTTGTGAGCCAGTGTCGTCCTACTGAAATAAAATGTCAAACCCTGGTTGCGTTACTTGTGGCGATTCTTCCTCCTATCGGTGTTTAAATAGAAACACAGGTGTGTGAGTGGGTGGTGTGTTTCCCTTCAGCAGGTGACAGTTGGTGTGCTAACTTTGATCTCTCACTGCCCCCACAGTAGCTTTATACACAACAAACACTGTCTTTGGCGCAATCTCCTTTTACTACCACAGGCTGCTACAGTTGCCAAATTGTCCTCCTGCTTGCAAACTCTGAGGCTCATTTATTCTGCCTTGGGGTCTGTGCAGTTGACGTCTTTGACAGGGATCAAAGCGATGTTTACATGAACTCCTTCTGGATGATTGGTGGTGCCATTGGTTCAGGGACAGCTGTGGTTCAAAGCCGCTCTGGAATTGATGGCTGAGTATTTGGAAATCCTCAGGATCTACAGTAGTAACGGAGCTGAAAGGTACTGAATGAAAGTTAATTGAGCTTGTACAAGAGAGCACAGGGGAATAGAGCTTTGTAAAGTGTAGTACAGTATAATGACTGCCTGCAATTAATTTTTCATAGTTTAATAATTCTCCAAAATGTCTGCTTTAATTTGGCATCATTTGGAATCCATGCAGGTGTGTCGCTATGCCAGCAATTTCACACTTGCAGTCACATAAACCAAAGGTAGTCAGAACACCTCTATGGGCTTTACATTCTCTCACTTCCCCAGCTGGCACATGAAGGCAGGATACATGTCTGAGAGGGAGTGAGAAGGAGGGGGGGCTTCAACAGTCAGGATAATTAAATTCTCCTCTTCCTGTCCACCCAGAGGTCTCAAACTCAGCCACACTCTTACATGCTTTTCCACACTTGTTATCTTTAAATGAGGTAACCTAAGGGCTTACAGTTAGTCGGCACAGAGTTATTAAAGAATGAAATGTATGTATTGAAAGCTATAGACGGGTTCATTGACAGCTAATTGTGCATCACTAAATCTAGGGACAAGGTCTTCATTCGTGATCTCACAAGTCTCCTGTTTCCTGAAGGTAACAGCAAAAGTGTCTACTTGTCAACCTCTCTTCGTATAATATCCAGCAGGTTGCGCCTAACTACTACTGGCTGCTGTGGTGAAGGACACTTAGGTATTTGTCTCAGAGGGATATACAAAGAATCAAATCCTTGAAATTACCATGTCAATAACATGGCAGTGTACATCAAATTAAACAGTGGATGTGGCCTTGTCTTGAGAAAAGATGATACGCTTCCTTGGAAATAATCAGTTGATTTATAGTAATAATTGTGCCTTTCCACTAATTTCAAAGACAGATGAAAATCAAGACCAAATTAGGAGCAAAAAGCCAGCCAATAGAAAATGCTATTAGCTTTTAAATCAGTAATCGATTAATTAAAAGGAATCTAAACCTATCTAAATATTGGGAGTAGTATCCATCAGTGTCATTTGGTAATGCAGGAAATGTCTTTCTTCTCCAGTGGAGTCAAACTGAAATAGCACTATGAGTGGGCAAAGTGGGTCTCATTTGCAAAGCTTTCCTAGTAATTGCATGCTTTTACTTCTCATGATTGTTTTCAGGAAGGCAAGTGGAATGGCGTGAAATGACCGAGGTCAGAGATTTTCAAATTGATTGTGGGCAACAAGCCTTCCACTTAAACTGTCTCCCTAATGCCACAGTAAGTCACTCTTCTTCACTTCTAGCTTTTCTGATTTGTTGTAGACTTTGTATTAGATTGCTAGGAGGTTAAGCAGTTCACTTTCAGAGTTTGATATATGGTAACATTTGGTGTAGGATAGTTCGCATTAAGGGCTCTTTCTGTCTTTTGGAAAAACAAAACTAGCAATTATTTTATCTTGTTACCAAGCACTGTCTTGGGTTTCAGAAAATCTGAACCACTTTTCTGTGTTGTATGGTCCACTTATCAAAGCTTTTCCATTTGAACTTTAAATTTGCATCTATACCTGTGTTGTGTTTTTTTAATGATTCATCACTGTATATTCTGTACAACTTTAAATTGATACAAGTATACTTCCTGTGTTGTGTGTAAGTACGATCAGGAGTTGGCACAATCTATAGGTATACACATCCTGCCTTATGGCCATATCTCATATCGGCATGGCAACAGTTGGTGAGCTCAGGTGAACAGGGAGCCTCACGTGTCTGACCCAGTCACCTACTAGACTTGGCATTGTCCATGGAAATGTGAGACGGGGAACATGATGAGCCTATTGCTCACCTTTCCCCAGGCAAGTCAGTTTAGTCTGACCTGTTCCACAGACAGAGCCTCATGAGTTTCATAAGCAAGTCTGTCTATCAGCCAAGGTTGAACTGATAACATCCAGTTTGATGAAAATCAAATTCTGTGCGTGTCTGATTACAGTTTATTGTGGAAAAGTACAGTTTCTAAATTTCTGCATCCAGTGTATATTCTTTTGAGAATCAAATATCCTCATTGCATCATCATTTCATATCTGTTCATGTCTGCCGTTGTCCTTCAGCATTTAACATGTCAGCATAGTAAGCTTAGGAGGAAATAGCAACCACGTCTATTTCAGACACTCTGTTGTCAGCTATGGTGCCTATCTGTCTGCACCTCCTCCAGCCCCCCACACTACTGCCCCCACCCCATGTCCTCTCAGAATATCTGCAGTGACTCTAGTATTGTTTAATTATTTGTCTGTCCTGCTGCTCTTTACACTTGGCCCCTGCGCAGGCTGATCAGAGTGCAGGGTCAGCAGCACACAGGTGGCTGGGATTCAATGTCTTGAACCGGGTCTGCGCTCTAATCACCCTGCAGCTTCATTTTCCAAACAGACGCAGTTGCAGCTCTTGATCTCTATGCTGAACCCTCTAAGCTTGTTTTGTTCCTGCCAAAGCTTCACCACAGACACAGTCACTAGAGAAGCAGAGCTTTCTTATGTTTTAAAGCTTTTAACTTCACTGAATTGCAGTGATATTTGATTGTTTTGCTTTGTTTTTCATCCTGTATATGCAAAGCAACATTACACCAAAGTCATAGTGTTACTGCATGTGTTTATATTGTATGAGCTTAATCACATCTGCAAAGGGTTAGCAGAATCTTATTAGTTCTGTTCTGGCAATAAATCAGATGACTGGGTGGTAGGGTAGAGGACTTCTGTGACCCTCATTATAAATAGCTTGTCCCATACAAACCGCATCAACACATTCATGTACACGACTCAGATCACAGAAGGACAGTTACTGTATTTAAATGAATAGGTTGACATTTTTGGAACATGTTAATTTGCTACTACTGAGGGTTCAATGAGAAAAGTGATACGGTACTTTTGTTTGTTTATTAAATTTACATCTAAATGATAAATGGACTGTATTTATATAGCGCATTTTTCCACAGTGTGTTGCACTGGCCAAAGCGCTTTACAGGAGATCATAGACCATTCACACAATGATGACAACAGGCTGCCACACAACGGTATTAGTCAAGCCACCGGGAGCAATTTGGGGTTCAGTGTCTTGCTCAGGGACACTTAGGCATGCGGGGAGACCGGGAGTGGAACCACCAACTTGCTGGTCAGGAGACAACTACCCCGTGAGCCACAGCCACCCCCTCTAAAGCCAGAAGCTGGTTACAGTAGCTTTAACCTGACTTTCAGCAAGAAAGCAAATACGCGTATTTCCCAAAATATCAGTCGGCCATTTTCAGGTAGTGTTACTGCAGGGCAGAAGCACACCATCAAAGGGTGATAATGATAACTAGTGAAAATGAAACTACTGACTAATGTGAGTATAGCATCAACAATAACAAACCAGCATTAAGTAAAAAAGGAATGACTGGTGGTCAAACAGCACACATTTCATGTACTGATATCCACAGTCAGTCACAGGTTGTTTAATGTTGCACAGTGTCACATGGAGTTATGAGCTATTTACACGGATCAGTGCAACAACATGCCTCACTGTGCAGACTACTTTATTGCTGGTGATAAATAAAATACTGTAAATGAAATCATCATCTGAAGTTTTAATAGTGACTATGGGAGATCATCACAGTTCATCACAGTTATCTTCCACTTATACTGACAAAATGTCAGCCAGGAGAGATCTTGACCCCAAGAAGACACTCAGGCGCTGAACTATTACAAACAAGGAACTGTTTGGCATTTCCTCACTCACGACATTGTGACTGGGACATCAGTTCTGCCCAGTGCAATCAGGCCTTTTTTGTGCAACATATTCCATCCTCACTATAGTCACTTAACATTTTCATTTCTTCCTGCTTTCCCCTTGAGCCTACTTTCAGTTATCTGGAATGTTTTTCTGTCAGTGTGATGTAGTCGGGAGCATTATTGCTTTCACAGTAATTGGTATGTTGCCATTTGAGCCAGTGAATGAAAATATGTGGTATGAATCATGGCATTATTGTTGTTTTTGTGAACACCAATAATATCATTGCACATATTGCTGTCAGGGCATCTTTGATCCAGCTGTCTTAAAAAATACAAATCATTATTATATGAGTTGTTTTCATCATCTTTATAATGAGCAGGCTATTTATGGCAGATGCTATTTGAGAAAAACCATCAAATGTGTTCTGTGCTATTTTCTGATGAGTCCCCAGATCACACAAGTGAAGCATGCTCTTTAAAATGAAACTTTCACTGCTCTTGCTGTTTTTCCCCATTTTGCTTGAATTTTTTTTGGCCTATTTTAAATTCCCACATTTCACTCTTTCTATTTCCCTCTTACTCTCATTTGCCTCTTCTGAGCTTTTGCTGACATGAGTGATTTATTCACATTTCAAATTTAGTCTCATGGCAAAATGTGACTAATGTCTGTGTCCCTGAGGCAGCTGGCTGTTCACACTTGAATACACCCTGAACTCACATCCCTGCCTATCATTTACATCCTTATTTTACTTGAGAATGACTTAAAATTAGCTTAATGGAGCACTACAATGAACAAGTAGAACCTAAATAATAAGAAGAAGAATTTAGAAGAAGAAGAATGTAACAACATCAGACTTTATATCCAGTGACATTCCTGCATTTCAGTGATT